AATAAATGAATGATGTTCTTGTGGCCAACTTTCACTCTTTGCTGTATAGGTATAATTTCTTCATGATTCATGGGAAGGTAAATTATTACAGCCATTGTGGAAATTGATTGTGAGTGAAATGTTCATTTCAATTTTAAATATAAATCGTATTATTTTTAGAGAAATACATAGAACAACATCTCTGACCTCTTTATATAGGAAAAGATTCTGGAAATGGAGCAGGAAGCATTCAATATACAGTGAAATGTTAAATCATGCATTATTAAAAAATTAAATTAAATTTTATTTAATAAATTTATTTATTAAAAGACAGAGAGACAGAGAAAGTGGGGAAAGACAATTCATGATCCAGGAAAGATCTTTTTTCTGGTCTATAGAAAGAACTTCTAAAACCAGTAAGGACAATCAGGTGTAACTATGGCAGGAATGGCAAAATAAAATGGACTGTTCCTAGAAGACGTTATGAAGTGAACAAATATATGTAAAAATGTATTCCACTTCCTTAGTAACAAGAGAAATGCAAACATGTCCTCATATATTCCTACCGCAACAAGAAGAATAAACATAAAATAGTAAGTCTTGGCAAGGATGTACATATACTAGGAAGCATATGTTGATAAAAAATGTGAAAGATGTTACAGCTATTTTATAAAATTATTTGGCAGAATCTCCTAAACCTGAAAAGATGTAAAGATTAACACAGCCACCTCAACACCGCATATGTGCAGTGCAGTCACAAACACAATTTCTAGAGTTTACAACCTACGGCACCAATGGGTAAACATGTGTGCATCAACACAAGAATGCCCAGCTCTCTGTTATTCTCACAGCAGAATTTAGTCCTAAAATTGTTCAGGGAAATAAATAACAAAAGTATGGGAAAAACAGAATTAAATGCTAAAAAATTTGAAATAACATGCACAAATACAGATAAATTTACAGCAACATACAGAAAATGAAACCTACATAAAAACTCTTCCTGTTGTCTCATATCTGAGTAAAGTACAAAAGAGGAAGAAATTCTGTCTGCCCTCAGAGGTCAGCATGGCGATCCCCGCTGAGGAGAGAGGCTGGTAAGTGGCATGAGGAGATAATAATGAGCTGAAAATGGCCTGGTTTTGTCAATATAAAACTCATGTAGGATGCAGGATTTTCTTTTCTTTTTTTTTTTTTTTTACATTAATGGTTGCTTTAATTCCTCTTATCATTTCTGAGACAATATACCTGACACCCAAAATTAAAGGAGGAAATGTTTATTTAGCTCATAGTGGTGGAGGTCTGAGGTCACAGTCAGCTGGCTCCAAGGCAGTGTTGTATGGCAGGGAGGTATCAGAGAGAAGAAAGTGTTCATGATGGGCAGAAGGCAGGACTGCAGCCAAGCAGCAAGCAATGGCAGCGACACTCTTTCTGTCCCTTATGTTCTATCCAGGCTACACACCATTAGAGCAGGTAGCGCTCACACCCAGAGAGAGCCTTCTCACTATCTACAGAGCAATGCAGAACCAATCACACGAAGACTTCAGGGACATCTAGACACAAGCCATAAGAATGGTGATATCTACTAAAGAGCTCTGCATGTGCCTTTAAGTATTTTGTTTGTCTTTTGTTGCTTTTGAGATGAGGTCCACCTACATCACCCAGGCTGGTCTTGAAACTTTCACCTCCTGCTTCAGCCTCCTGGGTAACTGGCATGATAGCTACCCATCACCCACACAGCCTGACTTTTCAATATGTATTTTCAACCCATGCAATTTTTTTCTGGTGCTGTGGGTCAAATCCAAGACCTGGACCCTGCTTGGCATGTAGTCCCCTACTGAGATATAAGTGCTACCTCCTTCTCAAAATCATATTTTCATTGAAAGAAGGTGAACAGATTAATGTAACGGAGTTCACAGAAATGAAGTATTGCATCAATTCCCACTATAAGTAGTGTTGAACAATTAACTGTAATTAGGGAGTGCGAATGGACATCACGGTGTGCAGGGAAAGAGGAATTTGGTGACTTTAGACTCACGGGCTATAAAATATTAGCAGTGAGTGTGCAATTTCCACTAAAAACTGAAATGAAGAGTTATGTGAAAATTACTATAATAGATGTTAATATATAAAAAATAAAACACGTATTATAAAGAACAGTAAATTGTTTGATAAATCTAGTCCCAAATTATCTATTATTATAGTCCACAAAATGACCAATTTTTCCTACTGAAAATCAATATTTGAATATATTTGGTGAGAAGCTTCAAAGTCATAGTAAACCATTCATTGATACAACAGTGATGAAAATAATTTAAATATTAAATTCATATGGCATTCTTTCATTCTTGTATTACAGTTATTTTTTATATTCTCAACACTCAATTTTCCATGATTACTCCCTGACTGATAAGAAACCTTAGCTGACTGATTGTCATGCGTTTCATATGCATGTGCTAATTTTTATACAAATGATAGTTTGCCGATGGTCTTGTGCAATGCAAATCTTCTGATTGTAAATATGGTTTCATGGGGTTGAGTGAATATAAAACTAAGCATCGTACAGGTATATACAATTCACAGATTACTGAGAGAAATATGGGATGTTCTCTTACTTATCCAGGCAGTGTAGATCTGTACACACGAGTCTCCACATTTGAAGACCAAGACGGTTTGGGAACCTGCAGGTTTCTGGAAAGATGCCCATGATCACCAGTCTTGGTCACTAAAGAGATCCAACGGACATGAAGGACAAATTAGGAAGTGCAAATGGACATCACCGTGTGCAGGGAAAGAGGAATTTGGTGACTTTAAACTCACGGGAGGACTTGGGGCCAGATTGTTCCCATGGATGCTCAATCTGCTCTTGTCTCAGTAAAAATAAACCCTTTAATATCACTGGTCCAGATCATGAACACCACAAAGAACACTGAGGTGTGATAGCAGTCACCTTTGCAGGAACTCCCTACCCTTTCCAATGTGAACAGCAGAACAGAATCCATAGTCTTTGTAAAGCTTTTATTTCTCTTAGGCAGTTACACACAGAGGAAAAACAACAATTCCCAGAACACAGAGTTGCTGCAGACTGATCCAGCAATCAGGACTCGTGGTGTATATCCAAAGGAATGAAAATTTGGATCTCAAAGAGATACTTTATTCTAATGTCATTGCAAGATAACTCACAAAAAAACCCACAAGAAGTCATCTAAGTGTTCACTAATGGAGAGGCGATAAGGACAATGTGTTGTAAAATGTATAACTGCTTAATATCCAGCCTTAGAAGGCAAGCAAACCCTGTAACAGATGCAGACATAATATAACTCAAGGCCATTACACTAAGCAAAGTAAGCCGACATAGAACTTTTAAAAAATCCTAGGTGACTTCACATGGATGTAGAATATACAATGATGAAACCTACAAAAATGGAGAGAGTACTGCCTTCCACAACACAGAAGACGGGAGAAAAGAAGAGGTCTTGACCGAGGATGAGGAAGATACCCAATACAGTTTCTGAAGAACACGTTATATGATTAGAAACACCACATTGTGTAAGTAAAAGTTTGTGTTCCTGGTAGATCTTATGTGCTATTAGCACAAGAGGAGGAAAAGCCAAGCAAAAAGGCAAACACAGGTCATGAAGGGTCTATTGGAGGTGATGTGTAACTTTTGGCACAGATTTTGACGTTTGAATGGTGTTTCAATACCAGCCCTCTGGTGAATACACACTTAGCTGGGGTCTTCATATCAAGGGAGGGAGCAGGGAGAGGATATGGAAGGAGCATATGATTTGCAGTTTCTGAATTGTCTGTACATAGCAATGATCTTGGGAAATGCACTTCACAAAGCTGAAAGGTTTTCATTGAATACAAACGTGAAAGTAAAAAAATACACATACTCTCCAGGCAACATCTGTTAACAAAATAAAGATTTCTTGCATTTCTCTTCTATCCACAAGTCTAGTTGAGTTCCTCTACTCAAGTCGAAGTGATTATATATAGTTTCCAATTTGAATTACATTGATATTTGAGTTGGTCTCATGTGTGTACTTATTTCAAAGTACATCCAGTTGGGTACATTAAACATTCAGATTTTGCATGTTAGTCATGCCACAGTAAAATAGCTTAAAAGTCGATGATTGTGTCCCTCAGCTCTTGCCTTTGTCTCTCGACTACATTTTGTTTTGCAGTGCTGGTAACTGAAGCCGAGAACTTACATATGCCAAGCGAGGGGTATACTACTTAGCTATCGGAAAAGTGTGCAAAAAAATTTTGCATTAAAATGAGATTTAGGGGCTGGGGATTTAGCTCAGCTGCACAGTGCTTGCCTGGCAAGTGCAAGGTCATGAGCTCGATTCCCAATACCAGAAAAAAACCAAAAAAAAAAAAAAGAGATTTACAAAAACAGTAAATATACATAACTGTCATAAAGAATAATGAATTTTTAAAACAGACATTTAAATAAAATACTCTTCAGACTGTACTTGCAGTATAAAATAAAAACCTGGGTCTGACATGCAAGAATAAATGACAGAAATCCTAACCTGTAAAATGAGGGAGTAATAAAAGAATACTAAAATAGAAAAAAAAAAGAATACTAAAATAGTTCAAACTCACTTAAGTATGTCATAAATTATATATGTACATATATTTCACAGACAAAAGAAAATTAAAATCTGTAATTAATTGAGACTGGTAAAGAAAAACATTCCACCCAGAAAACAGAATGGACAAATGAAAGGAAGAACACAGACAGACAGAAAGGCAGAAAGAAAGGAACTGAATAAGAAAATCAAACACCTTCAAGTGTACATAAAATTTTATTAATTATAAATATTAAAGTATTCCCTTTGAATTGCTGTGAATTACTGTTCATTATGAAAATATCTCTAGCTATGCTATTGCACCTACCTCTACAGTGAAAATGACTCATAATTTTGTGTTGGTCTTTATGACAGATGTGTGCACAGAATACTGAAGACACAAAAGTAGACACATTCACATGTCTGATGAAGTGAGATGCGTGTTCACCTCTTCCACATGGGCCTGTGTACACACTGTTCTCGAGTGATGAGAATGAAGGGACTAGCAGTCGGGAAACAAACATGTATCAAGGCAGAAGTTTTAACCAGCCACCAAGCACCTTTGTCATAAAAAGAGAACCAAACGTACATGATGGAGGACAGAGCATAGAAGGACACAAAGGCACAGACCAGGATGAGGATTCTTTGAGAAACTCTGACCTCAGGGGAAGACCTTGATGAGATTTTGGGTCGGTCAATATGTTGCATTTGCTGCTTGTGCCTGTACAGCATGAAAACCATGGAGCCACTGCTCCAGATCATAAGTTTCAAACACAGAATGTCATGTGATAATCTGAGTGCCACATAAATGGAGTTTTTGTCTTTGCTAGAAATCATAGCTGAACAGTACTGGTAATCTATAGTGTTAGTGATGTTTGTCTTGCTCCTTTTGTCACTCACAAGCATAGGAACTCTGATGTTTACCAGCATGTACAGTGCCCAGAAAATATTTGGATAGGGTCTAATGAACTTTAGGGCTTTCCCTTTCAGCTCTGCCCACCTGGAGCTCCTGGGGCTGATGGTGATGGCCTGGAAGACACTCAGCAGACAGGTGGTGCTGAAAGACACACCCCTGCCCACTGTTTGAACATAGAAAACCAGTTTGCATCCAATACTATTGAGAAAGTCTTCCACCCCAAAAGCTGCCATGATTTCTGGGATTCCTCTGGAGAGAATGACCAAGAGGTTGGCCACTGTCAGGTGCCTGAGAATCACATCTGTGAACTTCAACCTGCATCCACTGAAATAAAGGCAGATAGAATGCCGTAAAAGGGAGAGATTTCCTAGGCTTCCAATGACAATGAGAAAGAGGAAGAGGGTGAGGAGTTTCAGATCCATAGATGACATTCTTCTATGGTGCTGGATTCATGTCAGCATCCCAAAGTGTAGGGTTCTGTATAGAAACATACGTTGTGAGGAAAAGATTTCATATAAAATGAATTCAAAATTATGCACAGAGTCCTTAAAATTTTATTTCAACTATGTATTTTGTGTTTTTAAATCTAAAATACTCCTTTTCACTATATAGTTTTTTAAATGTATGGATCACTCTGGTTCATGGCTTAACAATTCTAACATACTTAGGCCTTACAACACGATGGGTTATGACCTAACCATGTCTGCCTCTAAGAAAAAGCATGTTTAGTAAAGAGATGTATGTGACTCACCTAATGTTAAGAATATATTTGGATGTGTCAGCCAGGCTTCAGCGACACTGTGCTTATTTCTGTGCTGTATCATCACAGAGTCAGAGTGATGGTGATTTTAGGAGCCATCTATATAAGTTGTCATATTTGAAATTCTTTATATTGTTGTAGGACTGTGATAATCCCGATTCTGTGTGAAAGTTTTATTTGTATTTCAGAATCATTCTTAAGCAAATGGTCACAAGTTTTAAGTTAATGATGGACTAAGTAATCTCATAACCAATGTGGATTTAATAAACATGGATTAATATTATCATAGCAACAAAATTTTTGTTAATATCACTTAACATGGAAATTACATATAATATTGATTTTATTCTCTAAGAGACTTCTTGATATGAAATTGGAGTCATAGAAACTGAATTAACTGTTATTAGATAGTTTACTCTTTTTTCTGAATTTAGAAAACAAAGTAGGGGCTGGGGATTTAGCTCAGTGGCACAACACCTGCCTGGCAAGTGCAAGGTCGTGAGTTCGACTGCCAGTACTGGAGAAAAACAACAAAAACAAAACAAAACAAAACAAAAGTCTGTGGGAAAAATACTACATTTAGAAAACAAAGTAGTAAAATCTCTTGTGAGAATGGTGCTAAGGTACATTATGTAAGACAAATAGAATTTTGAGTCTTCATACCACATGCGTGGTGATGGCCCATGAGGACGCGGAATCACAAAATGACATTAAAGTTTCTAAACCTGACAAGTGTAACAAGACACATCAGAATCAGAAACAACTTGACTTCCTTGATTTCTCTGTAGATTAAATTATGCAACAGTTTTTTTTTTATTAAAACCACCTTCCCAAATTACAAAAGAAAAATTGTCCAACATCATCAACAAAATACACATATTTTCAGAGAGGTCTAGAAAACACCTCCATTTCTTACTTCAACCCCAAAGAGAGAAAAACCAGTATCAAACAAAAATTGTCCTTTTCACACATTACTTATACAGGATAATGCCGGTTGAACTTTCTCCAGGACAATTATTATCACAAATAAGAACTTTTATTGAAGCAATATTCAAGTGATTCAGGTTTTCCTGTGATTTCTACACAGCACGCTGAACAGCAGACTGATTTCCTGATTGGAATCTTATGGATCTTCTAAATGAGGTGACGTTACTGCTTGGAGCAACGGTCACAACCATCTTTCCTGCGGGTTATATGAAAGCACATGGGGCACAGTTAGAGGCTGCTGAGGGGTCTCAGAGCTCCAGTCTGTCCTCACCTGAGGCTGTGCCTCAGGAACCATCCCTCCTCCTGCTGTGTCTCTGTCACCCCAGATGAATCACTTTTCCAGCCATGACAATTTACCCAAACAGACCCTGTGTCAGCTCCTTCTCTCACAGCCTCTGTCTCATGGACAAGAGCAGAAAATACAGAAAATACTCACCCAGCACCTTTCTGCTTCTCAAGCATCAGGCCGAGGTGATAGTCACGAAACCTCCTGCTTGTGTGGGAGGGAGGTGTCCAGACCCCAAGATATGGGTCGTGGTTGTGCAGTCTCAGCTCCCCCTGAAATGCAATTACCACTTCACCTGTAATTTTCATGACAGTGCATGTTCAGGCAGTCGAGATGACGTAAGAAACAACTAAAGAAGTAAATAAGTTCTCTCCAGATCCCAGTTCCCAGAAACAATTAGAAGCTTCTGTGCACATCTCCACGCAGAGAGATTTTGAGTGCTTTAGGGAATCTTTCCCCAACAACCACAGCAGCATGACCCCATAGGGTGCGAGGAGAAAACTTTGGTTTCTGAAAAATGAAGAGAACTCAGTGAACCCCGTGTATTTTTCCCAGTTGTAAGTGATGCGTAAATATACATACATATGTGTGTGCTTTCATAAGCATATTGATTTAAAATACACAAACATAGAAATCATACATAATTACATATGGAGAAATATGTATATATATATGTATATATATATATATATCCTAACCTATTTTGTGTGGGAGCAGATAAATATGATCTTAACCATTTTTAAGTATGCAACATTGTTAGTAACTATAATTATCATGATTTAAAGTGTGTCCCTAGTAACTATAACTATCATGATTTAAAGTATGTCCCTAGAACTTACTACTACCTACAAGGAGATGATGATTATCTGCCCAGCACACCCCAGGCCCTAGTCACCAGTGACCTATATTTTTCTCTGAGGGCACCTCTTTTGTACCCCCACATACACATGAGATCATGTAGTATTTCTTCATTTGTGCATGTATGATTTCTGTAAATATAAAGTCTTCATTGTTTATCTACCTCATTCACAATGATGGGTCCACATTTCTTAAGATTGAGTAGGTGTTTTTTGTTTGATTGTTTGCTTTGCTTTTGAGGCAGTGTATCACTATGTATTTAAAGCTGACATTGAATTCTCTCTTTTTCTGGTACCAGGAATTGAACTCAGGACCTGGTGCTTGCCAGGCAGGTGCTTGTGCCACTGAGCTATATCCCCAGTTGAACTCTCTATGTAGCCTAGGCTAGCCTTTAAGTCATGATGATGCTTCTAGCTTGGTTTCCTGAGTGCTGAGATTACAGGCATGCTCCACCAAGCCCAGATTAATGGAATAGATTGTCAGTGTACCTTCACATTACATTTTCTTCATTCATTCATCCACGGATGGCCACTTAATTAGATTATGTGTCCTATGCACTGTGAACAACGCTTCAAGAATTAGGGAAGTGTGGTGATCACTTAAACTTACTCTTTTTTAATTTTAAAAAACAAAAGAAGGAAAACATATTAACAAACAGACATCCATTTACAAAATAGCATAAGAGTAATATGAACAAAACAGAGTTACAGACAAAGTTGTAGGAAATTAACAATGGTTGTTGTATTACTTATTGATATCTTCAAAGTGATTTCTCAGGAAAACAAATAGAGACATACAAGATTGATCAAACAAGTAATCATTAATTTTCTTCCTTTCTGTAGAGCAATAGAAGACGTAGTACAACTATGTTAGCCATCCTATATATACATACATAATTACCCCTTCTTTCTTTTTTTTTTTTTTGGTTTTTCTCTGGTACCGGGAACCGAACTCATGACCTTGAGCTTGCCAGGCAGGCGCTTTTGCCACTGAGCTAAATTCCCAGCCCCAATTACCCCTTCTTTCCCTTCTCTTTTCCCACACCCCAGTTGCCCTTTACTTCTGAGCATTTTCTATTCAGTTCACAATGTCTATCATACCTCCTTCTGGATTTTTTCTGCAGATGGTAAGGTGTATCTAGTTCTCCCAGGTCTCAGATTCTGACTGGCTGCCAGCTGATGGCAGTCTGTCTGACTCAGTGATCCCTTGCTGTTCAGTGCATGTGTATGACCCAAGTTGGGACTGCACTAGTGGCTCAGTCCGGGACCAGTGGGCCAGTGTCCCCAAGCAGTTCAGGGTACAGGCAAACCCGGACAAGATCTGCAGGGTCAACGGTTTGTGGACCACCTGATTCTGAGTCTCCAGTCCACACAGGAGTTAAAGGCGGGCTGCACCAACAGTGCTCACACACTGCCCTTGTCTGTGACCCCCAGGAGGTCGGGGAGCAGGTAAAGCCCAAAGATGAGCTCCTGGCTCTCCTGGTCCAGTACCGCACTCCATGCTGGGTGCGCGCAGAGAAGGCCAACACGCGAACCCTGGTGAGAGCAGTTTGTGTCCCTTCTGAGTGAGGATCTCCGGTCCTCGCCAGGTGCATGGACAGTGGAGACTCACACTGGAATTGCGATGCGGTCCTGGGTTGGCCGCTCTGCTCCCAGGAAGTAGATGGGAAGTACCTGGCTCCCTCAGCTGCATTTGGCTGGGAACCGTTCTGTCAGTGGGTCATAGCTCGCTCGAATCTGCATCTCCAGTCAATTCAGAATGCGCAGAGGGGCCAGTTGTTGGCTGCACCAGCAGCATTCACACACTGCCCATGTGTGCAACCCCCAAGTGATCAGGGTGCAGGCAAAGCCCAAACATGAGCCGCGGTGCCACTGCTCCCAACACCCCCAGTCTAGTACCTCACTCTGCGCTGGGCGCACGCAGAGAGGGCCAACACGCAAACCCTGGTGAGAGCAGTTCGTGGGCCTTCTGAGTGAGGATCTCCGGTCCGCGCAGGCGCACAGAGGGTGAAGACTCAGCCACTTCAACATATTGATTTCTTTCCTCCAGATACTTACTCAGCAGGCTTGACGTTCAATACGGTCATTTTATTTTTAATTTCTTCAGGAATCTCCCTCATATTTTCCACCATGGCAGCAACATTTTACATTCCCACCAACAGTGTCTGAAGTGTCATTTTACCACACCCCAATCTCCTCGAGAGCCATCCTAACAGGCATAATGTGATATCTCACTGATGTTTCAATTTGCATTTCCTAATGATTTATGACTTGGAACATTTTTTCATATACCACCCGACCTTGTTTTTTTGCCTCTGGGAAATGTCTGTTCACTTCTTTGACAATTTGAGAGATTGTTTATTAGTAGAATATTATTTACTCTTTATTTTACTTTTTCATTTTGTTTTTATTTGCACACATTTGCAAGACAGGAAATTTAAATGTCCTCTTGTCACTCATACTCAGCTCTGTTTACCCAGGAGAGGCATTTTCTTCCACTGCGGAACCTCCACCTATCTGTGCCTTTCCAACAACTGCACT